TCAAAACTCACCCTGGAAACCACCCCCGAATAGGTTGAAAATTATGTAAAATAATCGTTTCTGAGAATTTTTTTCTGAAAATATATTCAAAACGAAGATAGAAAACATACCTACCTTGTTTCAGAATTTGTATCTCGAAACTCACCCTGGAAACCACCCCCGAATATATGAAAATAACGTAAAATTATGTGAAATGATCGTTTCTGAAAATTTCTTTCTCAAAATATCATCTTTACAAACAGGAAAAACATACCTACCCTGTTTCAGAATTTGTATCTCAAAACTCACCCTGGAAACCACCCCCGAATATATGAAAATTATGTAAAATAATCGTTTCTGGAAATTTCTTTCTCGAAATATATTTAAAACGAAAAGAGAAAAGATACCTACCCTGTTTCAGAATTTGTATCTCAAAACTCACCCTGGAAACCACCCCCGAATAGATGAAAATTATGTAAAATAATCGTTTCTGAGAATTTCTTTCTGACAATATATTCAAAACGAACAGCGAAAACATACCTTCCCTGTTTCAGAATTTGTATCTCAAAATTCACCCTGGAAACCACCCCCGAATAGATGAAAATTATGTAAAATGATCGTTTCTGAGAATGTCTTTCTGACAATATATTCAAAACGAAGAGCGAGAACATACCTACCCTGTTTCAGAATTTTTATCTCAAAACTCACCCTGGAAACCACCCCCGAATAGATGAAATTTACGTAAAATTATGTGAAATAATCGTTTCTGAAAATTTCTTACTCACAATATCATCAACACGAACAGAGAAAACATACCTACCCTGTTTCAGAATTTGTTTCCCAAAACTCACCCTAGAAACCACCCCCGAATATATGAAAATTACGTAAAATTATGTGAAATGATCGTTTCTGAAAATTTCTTTCTTACAATATCATCAACACGAACAGAGAAAACATACCTATCCTGTTTCAGAATTTGTATCCCAATATTCACCCTGGAAACCACCCCCGAATAGATGAAAATTATGTTAAATCATCGTTTCTGGAAGTGTCTTTCCCACCTCGTTCCCCACAGTATATTCTAAACGAAGAGGGAAAACATACCTTTTTCAGAATTTTTATGTCAAAACCTTCCTTGGAAACTATCTCCGTTGGCACATATCTTCAAATCTCGCGGTTAGAGTTGTTGCTAGAGTGGCTGTGTGTTTAGTCAAGTTGTACATATGACTCACTCAATTCTTCGCGCCTTAACAGGTTGTACCTCCCTGGCACTTCTCGGACTTTTTGTTGATGCTAATTTTCCATTCTTTGGTGCACCTTCTGACGGTTTGGTTGAATTTTCAGAAATGAAAATTTATGGAATGAGATGATTCCAAAGTTGATTAAATTCTAAAGAGAGAGTATTCTTCTAGAGATAATTGATGCTAGGTACCAAGAAAAATGCAAATTATTCAACGAGAAGACGAATGAATATATTGAAAATATTTTACTGAATAAAAATAAAATTGAATACCAATTAATGACACTATATTGCTCAAAGATTATGCAAAACAGTTCCAAAACATGAGTTTATTTCACTGGAAGGGGTGGTTGTACCTGTTGGCAAGTGTAGGGAGGAGCTTAATACGTCCAATAATTTCCAGAAACGATTATTTTACATAATTTTCATCTATTCGGGGATGGTTTCCAGGGTGAGTTTTGAGATACAAATTCTGAAACAGGGTAGGTATGTTTTCTCTGTTTGTTCTAATGATATTGTGAGAAAGAAATTTTCAGAAACGATTATTTCACATAATTTTACGTAATTTTCATCTATTCGGAGGTGGTTTCCAGGGTGAGTTTCGAGATACAAATTCTGAAACAGGGTAAGTATTTTTTCTCTGTTCGTTCTAAGGATATTGTGAGAAAGAAATTTTCAGAAACGATTATTTCACATAATTTTACATAATTTCCATCTATTCGGGGGTGGTTTCCAGAGTGAGTTTTGAGATACAAATTCTGAAACAGGGTAGGTATGTTTTCTCTCTTCGTCTTGAATATACTGTCTGAAAAAAATTTTCAGAAACGATTATTTCACATAATTTAACGTAATTTCCATCTATTCGGGGGTGGTTTCCAGGGTGAGTTTTGAGATACAAATTCTGAAAAGGGGTAGGTATGTTTTCTTTGTTCGTTCTGATGATATTGTGGGAAAAAAATTTGCAGAAACGATAATTGCACATAATTTTACGTAATTTTCATCTATTCGGGGGTGGTTTCCAGGGTGTGTTTCGAGATACAAATTTTGAAACAGGGTAGGTATGTTTTTCCTCTTCGTTTCGAATAGATTGTCAGAAAGAAATTTTCAGAAACGATTATATCACATAATTTTGCGTAATTTCCATCTATTCGGGGGTGGTTTCCAGGGTGAGTTTTGAGATACAAATTCTGTAACAGGGTAGGTATGTTTTCTCTGTTCGTTCTGATTATATTGTGAGAAAGACATTTTCAGAAACGATGATTTTACATAATTTTCACCTATTCGGGGGTGATTTACAGGGTGAGTTTTGAGATACAAATTCTGAAACAAGGAAAGTATGTTTTCGCTCTTCGTTTTGAATATATTGTCAGGAAGAAATTCTCAGAAACGATTATTTTACATAATTTCCATCTATTCGGGGGTGGTTTCCAGGGTGAGTTTTGAGATACAAATTCTGAAACAGGGTAGGTATGTTTTCTCTTTTCGTTTTGAATATATTTCGAGAAAGAAATTTCCAGAAACGATTATTTTACATAATTTTCATCTATTCGGGGGTGGTTTCCAGGGTGAGTTCTGAGATACAAATTCTGAAACAGGGTAGGTATGTTTTTCTGTTTGTACAGATGATATTGTGAGAAAGTAATTTTCAGAAACGATTATTTCACATAATTTTACGTTATTTTCATATATTCGGGGGTGGTTTCCAGGGTGAATTTTGAGAAACAAATCCTGAAACAGGGTAGGTATGTTTTCTCTCTTCGTTTTGAATATATAGTCAGAAAAAAATCTCAGAAAAGATTATTTTACATAATTTTCAACTATTCGGGGGTGGTTTCCAGGGTGAGTTTTGAGATACAAATTCAGAAACAAGGTAGGTATGTTTTCTCTCTTCGTTTTGAATATATTGTCAAAATGAAATTTTCAGAAACGATTATTTCACATAGTTTTACGTAATTTCCATCTATTCGGGGGTGGTTTCCAGGGTGAGTTTTGAGATACAAATTCTGAAACAGGGTAGGTATGTCTTCTCTCTTCGTTTTGAATATATTGTCAGAAAAAAAAATCTCAGAAACGATTATTTTACATAATTTTCAACTATTCGGGGGTGGTTTCCAGGGTGAGTTTTGAGATACAAATTCTGAAACAGGGTAGGTATGTTTTCTCTCTTCGTTTTGAATATATTGTCAGAAAGAAATTTTCAGAAACGATTATTTCACATAATTTTACGTGATTTCCATCTATTCGGGGGTGGTTTCCAGGGTGAGTTGTGAGATACAAATTCTGAAACAGGGTAGGTATGTTTTCTCTGTTCATTCTGATGATATTGTGAGAAAGAAATTTCCAGAAACGATTATTGCACATAATTTTACGTAATTTTCATCTATTCGGGGGTGGTTTTCAGGGTGAGTTTTGAGATACAAATTCTGAAACAGGGTAGGTATGTTTTCTCTGTTCGTTCTGATGATATTGTGAGAAAAAAATTTTCAGAAACGATTGCACATAATTTCACGTAATTTTCATCTATTCGGGGGTGGTTTTCAGGGTGAGTTTTGAGATACAAATTCTGAAACAGGGTAGGTATGTTTTCTCTGTTCGTTCTGATGATATTGTGAGAAAAAAATTTTCAGAAACGATTATTTCATATAATTTTACGTAATTTTCATCTATTCGGGGGTGGTTTCCAGGGTGAGTTTTTAGATACAAATTCTGAAACAGGGTTGGTATGTTTCTCTCATTCATTCTGAATATCCTGTCGAATATAAAATTTCAAAAACGATGAATTAATTTGGTTTTGATCAGTTCTGAAGATATTAATCTATATATAGGAGTAGTAGCACCCTATTTGTGTGTATACCCCAATTCATCATTATAATCATCATATTGACGCAAAACATTTGGATCGCATTGGTTTCAGTCGATATCTGAATGTTAAAACGGAAGAATCGTTGTGATAACATTTTACACCTGTGCGCATATACTATTATTTCGTTTCCGATACGGCGACCGTTTCTATTTTCACACCGGTTTGAAACGACATGTCTGATTCATACCAAACAGTTTCCTAATGCAAATATTGAGACTCATCATATATGCACCCGAAATGAAAACAAAATTTCTCTGCCAATACCAAAAACATCTCTCACAAAAAATTCAGTTATATATGAAAGCAAAAAAATGTATAACCATTTGCCAGAATATTTGAAAAATACAAAAAACCCCAAAATATTCAGGAAGGGTATTAAAGACTTCCTCATTCCAAAGGCATATTATAACCTGCAGGAATTTTATGATGACAAATTTCAGATCAGGAATAACCGTATGTGATATTATATTAAGAGTACTTATATATTCATTCAGTTATATCTATTGTTAGCTATATTATATATGTATGTATCTGTAATTGTTTTTGTTTATGCATTGTTTTTGTGTGTCATATACGAATTTTAATTGATAACTTCCTTTACATTATGTATAGTTATACCTATTTTATTTTGTACTGTACTGTGATAAAAAGTATTATTATTTTTTTTTTTTTTTGACGAAATGGATCGTTCCACTACATGTATCTTTCAAGCTTTGTCAATAAGAAAAATGTTCTTGGACAATAAAGCACAGATTGATTGATTGATTGATAGGTTCGAAACACTTTCATGTAGCCACAATACAAAATTATCCTGGAGATGATTGACCTTTTTCATTTTTGCTTCTCTATGAAGTACTATTCAAAATAATAAAATTGAATAATAATATAATAATCTATAATTATTATTGAAATCCTTACCAGAGACTAGAGTGTACTGAGTTCTCCACAACCACAACATTCAAGTGCATTGACACAAGGATTTATGATGCCTCCAAAATCTGATGAGAGGGTAGATTGTTCTTGAATAAACTATTTCACTAACTCACTCAAGGAAGCGTTGGTATCCTTTAAAAATTCCAGGTGAATTGTGATAAAACTTATATCGATGTTTTCAAACATCCCACTCTAGCCGATACCGATCAAACATCCATGTTAAAGCTGCTAACTACTTTACTGAAAAAGCTGAAAAAGTGAAGAAGCTAAACAAATGACAAATGAAAGCGACAGTGTTGCCAGCATAGCTTGATGAACTGGCAGCTAGAATTCGTTTTGCCCAGATATCTGTTAGGGTCCCTGAAATTGACGTTAAAGTCATAATAGGGTACGGACAGATCATAGCTTTTTTTAATGATCTAGAGACTTTAGTTTTGTCTACTGGCATCCCTGACATTGCTGTCACGTCATGTCCATGGGCGCTACAGAAAAAAATCATTCAAAATTTTAATAATAGTTATGTACAGGGTATTTGACTTGTTGAGGAAGATCATAAAATGGGGATCGAGTTTTGTAATGATGATCCGATTCTATCCAAAATTGGTATCTGGGGGTTTTCGGGGTAGGAGATAATGATTATTTCGTGAAAATTGTAAAATTCAGGATGACACGGATCGAATATGGCGAAAGACATTTCTAATTATGATCTGATTCTATATTCTATTACAGTTTGGTATCTGGGGGTGCTCGGGGTCGAACTTTATTGCCGAGCTGAAAACGAGTATGAAATGAATAGTATCTTGACAAACTAAAGAAACACGCTTTTATGAATAGCCAAACTGAAAAGAAGTAGAAAATGAAATATATAAATTATGCTGGTAAATATTCAACTAAAAGAATATTTTCTGGAAATATTGTGCATAGCAAAACAACGTTTGCCAAGTCAGCTAGTAATCTATAGTAATGATATTTATTATTCGTTTCCAATACTCTTTGTATATTGTTGAAAAAAGGAAATATTGACAGTGTCGAATGACTTCTGAATGTTAATGATTATACAATTCAAGAAAATAAAAACATCTTACAATTGAATAAGGATATTATTTACAGAATACGATATTTTCCTATCCTCTTTTGAAAAAAATTGCGAAATGTGCTGTGTTAGGCTGTGCCAATCAGTTAGATGGCCAATTCAAATTTGTAAGCTTTCCAACAGATGAAGATGAACTCAAAACATTTGCGTGCGCAAAGTAATACTTTTCCGCACTCAAAGCGAATATAGGTGTGTTATCCGCACGGCGTGCGGATAAGTATAGAACTACCCAAAAATCTCACTGGTATGGAACATTTATATTCATTTTAGTTGCTGCAGACTATTGTATGCGCTATAAGAAGCCGTTATCCCTATTACTTTTCAATCGTTTTACCCGATATTTGTATTTTACCTCAAAACAAAAAAATAATTTCACGGGTTCAAAGGAGAATACCTTGTATAATGATATATGATTATATATAATATTGTTGAGCAACATCAAGTGCACTTGTCAACTTTGACATGATGTCAGATTTTTACTCAGTTTCTATCAGCAAAAATCTACAAACACCGTCACTTCATCATATTTTTTTTTATTTTCCTTTTTATCTGATATGAAGCTCGGAGGAAAAACGGTGTTATAACACGTGCGCAAAGTGTCTTTTCCGCACGAATAACTTATTCGAACTCCGCTCTGCGTCGTTCGCCTAATTGTATTTGCGTGCGGAAAAGTAACACTTTGCGCACTTGTTAGGAAAATAACTATTTCGGCCTACCTCTATCCAAGGTGAACATTTTCTTGTCTCAATGTAGGGAGCAACGTCGTACTTTTCCTCCCTAGGGAGGATAAGACGAAAAATACTTGTTCCCCATAACTTTTTCTTCCTTGGGAGAAAAAGTGAGTGATCATATGGTATTTGATAGTTAATATACCAGACACGTTTATTTGTCTGCTATAGAGCAGGAAAATGTATCTACCAAATGGTTGGAAAGAATTCTATTGCTATAATTCATAAAATAAATTGCAGAATTTTTAAAACTGCCTGATGTTATAAATTATACCGGGCATAGTTTCAGAAGAACCTCGGCAAGTTTTCTTGCAAATTCTGGAGGAGACATTCTTGCTTGGAAGTCTACGAATATCGCTGAAGGGTATGTGCAGCAATCTCTCACTAAATAGCAAAATATTTCCAACCAAATTGTGGCGGGTCACTGAAGTTTTTTATGAAAATATCACGGAAACTGCATTGGCTCCATATCTCATTTCTAGTGGTATTCAAATAACCACTGCTCAAAACTGCACTTCATGAGTTTATATAATTATTACTCTATCACAATTGCAAATATGTAGGACAAAAGAGTGAAAATAAGGTGCCCATATATAGGTTATACTTCATACCTATACTTCTTTGTTATTCCATCAATAAATCATTTGGAAATGACTTTTGAAAAATTATATGTATAACATTGGGGTAAAGTATATTCTATTCTTCATTTTCCTGCAATTTCACGTATTACCGCGTATTACCTTCTATATAAGCCTACTTCCCGTCCTAGAATTAGTCACTCCATAAATTTTTCTCTGAGTTGGATTTCCGAAAATATATTTAGCACACATGACATGACTACAGTAGTTCAGATACCCACATCGAGGTTTTTACCATTTCTCAATCATAAGGCTCAAAACTCATTCAGCTCATAGTTAAACTACCTACTGCTCAGCTTGAAATCAGAATTCATTCAGTCAATTCAGTCAACCCTGGTATACAGTCTAAGAACAGTCTCTTTGGTGAAATATATTAAGCTTTTAGTACAAATTATTATGCTGGAGTAGTAAACTCTAAAACTATAGAGGATTGTTCAACTATATCTTGGTATAGTTGAATCAGAAAGTCTATATGGAAATCACGTATGATACGCCAATGACCTCATTATAACCTAAAAAACAACAAGTGTCAAAAATCTGATAGGTATTTTGAGCCGATACCACTCGATACATCTAGAAATCTCTCTCCTTTGATTTATTTCCACTACGTGTGACCAATATTTTTAAAACAAAAATTGTTTGCCTGTATGTCACTGTGGTAAATTATTTTTTTGGTAATGGAAAGGGTTCGATCTCTTCACTATATTTACTACTTCCATAATCATAAGATTTTTGGAAAAAATATATTTTCAGCCTATGCAAAATTCTTCCATATCGTTAGTGATTATCGAAAAAAAAAAAAAATAGCAACTGTATACAAAATATCTCCCTCCCCCCCCGTTCAATTTTATTATCATCATTAGTCATAGATAAATCATTTTTTGTTCGGAAATTGATCGGCTTCAGTAGCATGATTCAACTTATTAGTCATTCATTCAGGACCAGGCGGTAAATCAAGACAGTCTTGTATTAGATGTCATCATGTACGGTCGAATTTTGTGATCGACATCGAAAAATACGCGAAAGGAATTATTTATCGTTGCAAACTGAGTGTTCCCTAAAAACTGAGTGATCGTATTGATTCGTATACTATAATGTTTTTGTATTCCTCATTCGATTCAATAATAATAATATCGGGATCGTGTGTTGTTCTAGTGTTTCGTGTTGTTTCATCACTCACTTTTTTCACGCTGGTGAGTGCAGAGAATTTCTCTCGATCTTTCCTCATATTTTTCTGTATTCATTTAACTTCATTACCCTATACAGGGTATGTCACTACGAGCTTACACTATCTTTAAATCGAGAATTAGTCGGGAGAAATCCATGAAAATGTGCATGCTCATATTTTGGTATACGCTGTTTTCATTTAAGGCATTTTAAGGTATGTTCGACAATGTAGTGTTGCCGCTTCTACTAGAAAGTAGTAGCAATATTTATATTTCGAACGGAACACCCTGTATTTTATCGCATTTTAGGATTCTCCCTGAAGAGCTGATTTCATCGATGTATCATACTTGGGGTTTATCGAGAATGATTACAGAGATATAGGGTGTTCAAAATCGATATTTTTCAACTTTTGGATTTTTTTTGTGTCGAAAATATTAATTATCGGTCAAAACGGCTCACATGTCCCTATCTCAACTTTTGTTTCACTATTTACTGATATTCAATCAGAACAGATACAGGGTGGTTCAACATTCAGAATTCTGATCACATGCATATTTTGTCATGGATTCCTCTCGACCGATTCTCGATATAGAGATAGTGTAAGCTCGTCGTGACATAGCCTGTATGTTTCGTACCGTTTGTTGTATTTGCTCCGATCAAGGAATACTTTCTTTTGATTTTCGTGCTTCCTGTTCGAAACTGTATCTTTTAAGAATTTACAATCTCCAATAACTGTGATACAGATTGTAATCCTGATTTTGGCAAAATCTTCATCTATATGGTCAGGTCAAATAATATAATTTTGAACCACTGTGTATAATCGATTCATACTTGGTAGGTATATTCAACTCACATTTCTCATCAAAACTATAAATATGAATCGAATATAGAATCCAGATCCATCTTCAGGGAAAACAAAACACTTCTTTTTTTTTAACAGTGCGCATCCAATTTGAAAAACAGTATTTTTATTGAACTCGTTATTCTAATAATCCAATTTTATAACAAAAAAACTAACTAGAGTCGTCAAATTTCAACTTAATTAGAGCCGGATTAGGTAAAATTTCGATGGATTTCGTTCCATAGAACAATTTGTCAATTATTTTAGATATTTTCGAGTGCTATCATTACATTTTCACACACACAAATTAATTAAGAAGGTATTTTACATTCTTGAATTTTTGTACGTAGATTCATATTCCGAAATTATTTATTTTAGTATTGTCACTAATTTTATATACATAATATATATTATACGTCTCCGAAGTTTTTGTGATTGTTTAACAACCGGCGGAGTTCTTTCATTTCATTTATTTTTATATCTATCCATTTTGATAATTTTGTATATAAATATTTCACACTCTTGAATTTTTGTACCTACTTATAGACTGTTGGCCCGTGACACAGGGTTTATCGATGTTCTAAGTCGGTATGCCAATTAAGGGACCCACTCACTTAGTCCAAGTTAACAGGAAGGAGTGCCTCGGAGAGTCGCAACCTAGCCTTTGTACCGGCCGGGAAACTGATTAATGGGTCCGAATTTATTGTTTCGCCGAAGGGCATACATTCTTCGATCATCGACTATAACATTGAAAAATTGCCACTTCCGGTTCGTAGCCTCCCTTGGGGAGTGACCTAGGCGTAT